TATGTAAAATGTAATAGTTCGGCTTTCCATTTTGCTGAAAATGGCAGTCATATTCTGTAATATGTTACTTTATTCTTTGATAAAATTGCCAGCCATTGTTGGCTCAATCTTGTGTAAAATATAAAAATCTAAAAGGCTTTGAAAAGTATAGCACATGTGTAATTATTCTCATAATATAAGAACAAGAGGAAACTGAAAGGCAACACATTTACAACTGACAAAAGTAAATACTTTGGATACAACAGATTGTTGATACAGTACATAGTAATATCTTTGCAAAACATGCTTCTTATTGAGAGAACAAATCCATACAATTATATTTTTTACATGTTTACTCTTAGCAAAGGGGAAGAGGAAGAAAATATGAAAAGAGAGAGGGAACTACAGGACTGGGTAGTTTCTTGAGTCTTGAACTAAAAATTAGTACAGAGTGGGCGCATCTACATGTGCCCCAAAAGCACTGTTGTTACTGCACCATCCTTTTGGAAGTACTAAATGATGACACAGTAACAGTCCATACTGCACAGTGCACACTGTGCCTGGTTATTTTTGGCTGCTACATTGCCATAGTGATGTGCTGTAACAAGGGAGCACATTGTTACAATGACGTAGCTGCAGCATCATGGTTTGTGACCGCCAACTTGTAGATGCACCCACTGTTCCATAATGATTTTCCTTTCTCCTACTTTATTCCTGTTTGGCTAATGTCGTTGTTCTTTGTTTAGTATCAAATACTTTATTATTATTGGTACCATTATCACTGCTTCTGGTACTACTTTATACCTACCTGCAGCCATTCAGCTTGCTAAAGTAGAAGCTAGGTACACTTAATCTGACACACAGAGCAGACAAACAAGGATTAATTTTAGACTGTCCTTTTTTTTTTTTTTCCTTGGGCTATGTACTTCCTATATTGGCATGCTAAGATAGGGTGATGTAATACACAGTTACTTTGTATAAATTGGAGCCATAGTACATCAAAATAGTAATTGGCAAGAGTCTGGTGCTGGAGTCTGAGCCTACAATAAAAAAAAATCATACAGATTATGATGGAGGGAGATTCATAGAAGTCAGGAGGATATGATCATAGATATCTTTGGTTTGCTTATAGCATAAGCCTGAATTGTAGTCAGCATTGAAAATTCAGCTTCTTCACAACATTTTTTTTTTTTTAGGAAATGTATTAACATATGAACTTCAGGATAATAACTCTTATAATAACATCAGCTGTTTTGGGACAAAACCCACTTCCTGGGTTTAAACATGTCTACATATGCAGAAAAGGGTATATGTTTACAATGCTTTAGTTAAAGTGCCCCCGCTGCCATTTTGAAAAGCGGGATGCTGAATATACAAGACATGGTGGGTATTTTAATTACAGAAGTTCTTGAGACCTCCTCTAATTAAAACACCCCCCACACCCCAGAGCAGGTGTACAGATGCCTCTGGAGTAAGGAAGGTAAGTTGCAGTTTTATGTCACAGTGCCTAATCAAGATGAACCTAGAACAAGGCATTTCATTTGAAGCACGTATGTAAACATGGTGACATGGAGTTATGCAGATGCTTATGTATGTTTCTGAATTGGAGTCATAGACTGGGAAAGGAAAGAGAAAATACGATTTATCACCAGAACATAAAGTTAAAATATCCTTGTGTTCCATTGATGTTGATTTTTGTATTTCTTCTTTGAGTGCTTACCAAAATGTATCTTCCACCCCTGGAGATCACAGGCTTTTTGTCAGGAATGTCTGTTCAGTTTATAGGAGTGATGTTGTAGCTGTAATAGGCCCAGAATTATGCAAGAAGCAGGGACTTTTGTGGGTAATATTTTTTTATTAGACAGGTTGCATAGTTGGAATCAAGTTCGACAAGCTTTTGAATGCAAGGCATTCTTCACCAGGTCTGGAAAAGAAGCAGGTATAGCAGTAATTAGAAACAGTGAGTTAGGGCTGTAAAGTTGGAGAAGGAAGAAATTCCCAGGTGTTGCAGACAAACAAATAACAGAAGTAAAGAAGCTTGATTAATGGAAGATGAAGACCTATTAAAAGGGAGGAGGGTCATTATCATCTGTAGTATGAAGAATTTCAGGAATCAGGTAGATTTTAGTATGCTGTCAAGTCAACATCAGTGTTCAGTCCTTTCTCCTTAGTGTGGAGAAGAAGTGATTTTATTCCTGAAAAGTGATTAAATGACCTTATGCCCTGAAAGGCTTGTGACCCATGCAAAATGTGCTTCTATTGGCATTTATGTGTCTATGTCCTTTGTATTTTTCCTGTGAGTTCATTTTGGTTCACAGTTGCTGTTTATTTTACATGCATGTGTGGAGCATCTCTGTGCTCTCATACCAGTAGCATAAATGACAGTGCTGCTACCTTTCACTTCCTTCTCATTGCCCCTGGTTTGAGACAGAGCCCTCTGTAACATAGCCCTCCTTTCTTAGCATGACCTAAATAAATTGCATATCATCAGCACTATTCTGGTATAGTTACCGGTAGTTAAACTGCCTGGTGGCATCCACTTTTTTTTATAGATTTCAGTGAGATTTACAAGAAATTTCCTCTTTTAACACATCTCTTGTACATATTGCCATATGAAAAACTTGTCTTGGCTGATGAAATGTTTTTCTCCCAAATCATCCAGATTCATTTATTGCCCCACTTGTAAAGTGATGATTCTGGTTAACAACATGACCTGCAAATCATGTATTCTAAGTAAGTTTCTAGTGCATAATCCTTTTTGAAAAGGATTTTGATAAGTATGGACATGAGTCTCAGATGTCTCTACCGGACAGTCTGGCCTGTCTGAAATGTGGGTGTCTCTGATCATCCTGTAGAGTCATGAAGTACTGGTAAAAGCTCACCATTTGTTCCAGAGCTCTACTATCTAAGCCTCCCATGTCAAAGTGTTCCATGTAGGACATTCTGGTGAAAAGGTGCCCTTTCCTCAATATATTTCAATAAACCAAGACCCTTTTGGAATCTGATGAAAATATCTGCAGCTATCTGAGAGACCAGATGCCACCTCTGGTCTCTCAGCTCAGGTGCAGGGGGCATACGCAAGTCCAAATGCTCATGCATACACATTCAGCATGAGACAGTACATCCAGAGGAAGTCCGTTTGTTGTGACTGAACTTTAAAAGTTACTTTCTGTAGCTTCCCTTTCCCACAAACTGCAGATGTTTCTTATTATTTAACAAGACACATGGCAAAAAAACCTCCCTATCATTGTGATGTCAACCTTATAACAACTGAGTGTTTATATTGTCCATTGCTGCTGTCCGTGCATTTCAGAAATGCACTTGTATTCAGATAAAATTCGTGTTTTGTTCTATAGGCACTTACAGATTGATTTGTTTTTAATTGAAGGACAAGACATTGCATATGCTTAGGAAAAAGATTGAAGAAGTCTACAAAGTTAGTTCTGGAGAGGTAGAGACAACACACATTGATGCAATTGAAAT